CAGTCAGGAGCTTCCTTGCAGAAAACAGGACAGATCCTCACAGGTGGTATCAGCTTTGCCATCATTTTCCCTTCAAAGAACCTGGTCAGACCAGAAGCAGGCTAACATCACTCTGTTTCTAGGTCAGCTCCGGCATGACCAAGCACTCTTTTCTGTCATGCTGGAAACGCTCCTAATCTTTCCCCATCTTAAAGAAACAATGATAAAGCGAGTGTCTTAAAGAAACCCACTATTTTGACAACATAACGCCACATCTCAATGTTGCTCTGAAGGCAACAGTGCCACATTAACCTAAACCTTGTGTCTTTTCCACTCACAGATTTTCAGAGCTGGCCAAGTGCTTGGTATGCAGAGCAAGGGGAACAAAGAGAGGCCACCAGTGGATGCTGGATGACAGCCGTGAAGCATCCTACGATGACATCTCCGTATTTGTCATCCCACTACACAACAGGGATGAGAACTGACTGTTACATGATGTGCAGGATCTCTTGCATCCCCCTGCTGTGGTGCTGTTGAGCATCCACCTGAGACAGAGGGATTCCTGTTGTGCGTGTACACTCCTTCCAGCAAAACATCTGCAGTGGAACTTGGAAATGCACAGCCAGCACTTATGCAGAAGATCAAGAACACTCAAGAGGGGAACAGTGGGCAACAAATCATTCCCCTTAACTCTTTTCTCAGTTTTGGGCCAAGGAGAAATTGCAAAGGGGGCCACACAAGCTGAAGGGTACGATTTCCAAGATCTCTGCAGTACAGCGAGACTCGTATCTATGTTTCTGATTTCTCTTTTTAATAGTGAAGAATGAGGATCGAGATCCCACCAGTCTCAAGTGCTGGCTTTTAATCATACTTGAACTAAGGTGTGTAAAACTGGATGCACAAGCTAAAGCATCTCTCGTATCCATTTGCTGTAAGGCGAGAGGTACTGAAAATCCGGGAGCCGCTGCCCAGACGGCACTGGGCACAGCCACGCCTGCATCAGGGGAAGGCTGGAGCAGTAGCCCAGACCTCTTGGGAGAGTTGCCATTTGTAGGCAGCTCCACCTCAAAACAGACAATGGCAGCAGATGAAGCTACACACTGATGTACAGGAGCCTCCAGTGGACACGTGCCTTACTGTTATTTAAGAGCATATAAGCACATTAGTAGCTAATGCAACGTGTGGATTTCCAACAAATTTTACTCCACAACACTTGTTAAAGCTTTTTCATTCAGGCTGTTTCTGACAACACAGTTCATTTTGTAGGAATATCACTGATGTTGAAATACGTCAGGCAGGTGATTTAGTAGAAAAGCCCCACGTAAAATAAAACCGGTTTGTTTAAATTTGTCTGCAGTGCTGTATCTCAAGCGCTTACACTCATTACAACAGGAACAGCAGCACAGAAGATGTGCCAGGATTGTGCTTTTAAACTCTTGAGGATCTGCTTCTAAACCTGTTCATTAGCCAGGCAAAGTCAGGTCTGGACAAGTTTCCCATCAGCCCTAGTCCCCGCTTCAGTTTTCATTACTCACTGCACAAGGTGCAAGGTTCCCTAGTGAAGCAGACAAACCCCAGTGTGTGTTTAAGTTCCACGAGAATGAAAGTCCAACTAAAGATACTTTTTTTCTCCCCCTGTGCATCTTACTGCACTTTTACTGTCGGAGGCTTTGCACACACTCAAGATGGAGAAAAACAGCCCTAGAAAATTGCAGGGGGCGGTGCTTGAGATTTGCCTTTGCCAAAACCCAGTTCGTTACTATTAGTATTCCCTCAGCAGTACCACCCCAGGGCTCAGCATCAAAAGATGATTTCCTGCAGTGAGAGGCCTGTACCCAGGAATGAGGCAGCCTTCTCAGCTATCTGCTCATGGTTTAAGCAAGGGCTAGGAAAAAAACCCCAAAACATTTCTCTCCAGCTTTGCTTTCCCCCATCCCATTGAGTTAAACCTGACAACAATGCACACACGGGGTTCTACCCGTGTTACCCTGATGCTGGCTGCCGTCCCTGCGACAGCAGTGTAACGCTATACATACAGTGACTGTCACAATCCAAGTCTCCTGTTAGGCCAACAACTTCTCCACCTTAAAAAAAACTCAGCTCTTCCACCCAGACCACAAGCTGCTGCAAACACCCCTCTCCCTAGGGCTCCGCACCTCAGGAAGCAGCTGTGCCAAGATGGCTTCCCTATCCCAATGCATTCCTAAGCAAGACAAACCTCTTAAAACGGGCAGTTTATGTAGGGACAGGTTCAGAGCATCACAATTTCCACTACAGAGCACCTGACCTTCCAGAACAAAGGGGCTTTTAAAAGAAAGATGATTTTCCCATTCCCCGTCTAAGAGACCAGCAAGTTGTACCACACCACACAAATGCAGATTTTACAGCACTCTGTGATCTCTCTACAAAATATTTATTGGTAACAGCCACAACACTGAATTCTCCACATATGTAGTATTTTGTGACAAAGCAGAATTTGACTTTATGTATTTACACTCATCTGGCAGACACCACCTAGGAGTCAAAGTCCCCATACCAGCTCACCACCAAAGAGACCAGTTACTGAAAGGCTTGCCAGGATCCTAGCCTCTGACCCAAAACCAAGGGTAAGTCTCTTAAAGTGCAAATATAGTCAAGAGGCATTGGAAAAGATACAACGGTGCTTCCAAGTTCATTCACTCAATTACTCCTGTGTCCCTCAGAGCAGGGGTTGGGATGTTAAGCAAGAACCTGGAAGCCTCAATTAAAAACAATTTAAAAAAAAAAAAAAATCTATCAACCACATGTTTGCAACATTACACCCAAAATCTCCTACAGCCCAAACAGATGTGCTCAGCTACCACCACTGCTAGTTGTTTACAGGTGGGCTGTTGAGTCTCACCTTCCCCTCAAGAAAGGTCTTTACTTCATGCTGAAGAACATGATGGGGGGGCTGGGAAATAACCTTTTAAATGTCAAATTTGGAAGGGGAATGCTGTTTCCTGCTTGGCTTCACATAAGGGTGGACAACTCCACTAGACCTGGGAGTGCTGTGTCTCAGCGAGGTCCATCTCATTAGCTGACTGCCCTGAAGAGTACAGGAATCGCAGTCCTGATACTTCTAGAGAAGCATACAGAAGTTGGAACCAAAACCACCTTTATTCACCTTTCCTGTCTAACCTTCTAGAAACATGTGATATTCAAGTTCCTTGACAATACTTGGCACATTTCCCTCTGTTAAAGGCAGATGGAAAACAGTGCTACGTCAAACAAGAAAGAAGCCTTCAGCTTGAATTCTGAACTGAGCACTAGGGCTGTGCTTTACAGGTTCGTGTACATTTATCTTCACTCCAGAAAGCCACTGATGTTCTCAGTGTACGAGTCCTCCTACATCGGTCCTTTGGTCCTCTTTTTCTTAAAACATTTCAAGCTGCAACACACAATGTTTTACAACATCAAACGCGATGAGAGCTGAGTAAGTCTTTAGACAAGCACTCAAACCACATTAGCAAAGAGCATTTTAGAATAAAAGACTTCCAAATGCTTCCCTGTGAAAAGTAACAAAAAGGGCTGGAGGCTATCTGTTCACTTCCTCAGGCAACTGGCTTGGTAAAACCCTTAAAGATGATTTGCTACCGAATGCTAAACTTTAACTGTTAAAACGCAATACAAACCCAAAATACCTGTAGGTTACAAACCACTGCAAAATATGGCTGCTTATGGAAACAACAATGGTAAAATAGCACCAAGCAGCCCAAAATGCAACAATACTGAGCTAGAGGTGGCTGTGGAAAACTAGTCAGCTGTGAGGACCATGCTAACCATCTCCCTTTGCACTGGGCATTTACAGGCGACAGTGGGACAGTACAGGAAAGAGGGATGCTGGTGTAATAGAATGAAACTCTCACATGCGTCTCCCACATCAGGCCTGTTTGGCAAGATCGAAAGCATTAGTCTGCTGTTCCCTTCCCTCCTCCAGCACGGAGGACGGCAAACCAACATCACAGACCCATGTCCTGACAAACGGCCCTTAACTTGCACAGTAGCATCGTCAGAGGCAAGCCACAGAGTCGAAGGAGAAGTTTCAACCACAGCATCGATCCGAGTATCAAATTCATGAGAATGCCTCACGCGGGCGATCCTCCTGCCGACCATCACAGGCAAATGCTGCAGCTTCACACACGCCGAGCAGTGGAGAAACGCTCATTCCCCACCCACAGCTCTTAGCACAGTGCACTTCCACTGAGAAGGACTGTGAGGGGGAAAAAAAAGGCAAGGAAGAGGAAAACAGAAGCAGCTGTTCTACAAGCTGCTTTACTTTTCCAGGGAGATATGCTCTGAATGATATACAGGGCCTCACAGTCGAGATGAACTTTGCTGTAATAAAGGAACATTTAGACACCTCGAGCCTGGTTCTCCAGTACGGACCAGCAGTTTAGAGCAGAAAAAACACGCCCACTGCTATGCTTGTCACCTTAGCAGCGTTTTACATTTAGGAGAGAGGAAGCACACATGACTGGGCAAGGGAAAGAATCGACTTTCCAAGCCATGACCCAGCATATAAAATGTAAAGGCAAGAACACCATGACCACATGTACGCCGAGCCTGTCCCAGCCTGCTGGTGGATGCATTTCATCAGTGCAGCCCTTCAGGAAAAAGAAACTGGAACAAGGCTTGAAGACCAGCTTGACAGTCTTTCTGTGCCATTCGCCCACAAGCCCCTGGAGCAGGACAGCACGTGCCTCCCACGTGTTTTCAGAGGCGTTCCTTGGAGCAGAGCCAAGCAAAGCAGAGTCAGTACAGTCACATGTACGATTTTTTTTAAATTCCTCTGACAAAGGAAGCATCACTCTTTCGGGGCTATCACTGAAAACCCACAGAATTGGTAACAAAATGCATGATGAACTGCACATCGGTTTTACCAACAGAGGGATACAGGTCTAAGCCTGTTGTGGGGAGAATTTAATGGAGCATATTTACAAACCAGGAGGAGAAAACTGCATTGGTGAAGGTAAACAACCTAGACACCCCACGATACTGGCCCACATCACATTCTTTAATATCTAAAAGTAAAAAAATATGGCCGATTTCCACTGCCCTCCCCCCACCCCGATATTTACAAGTAAGATCAGCCAAGATGATACATAATGAAGATACACAGGCAGACTGTGCTTTCAGTCTCAGTTTGGTTTCTCCATCTTCCTGATTTATTGCTTGGGACAGTGACTGGACCTCATCAGTACTGTCTGCACCCTCCGGGATGCTGGCACAGCAAACAGCAGGGAGGCTTCAGCAAGCTCTGGCTGCGGACAAAACACGTACGGTTTGCAGCACGCTAAATCACCAAAAAATGGATGACAGGATGCATCACGTGTATTTACAGTCACCCACTCTTTCGATGTGTACTCCACTGCGAAAGAATCCAGCATCTGCTGTTTAAGTTGAAAACTGTCAAGTGTTCACATTTGGCACAGAATTAACTTTGCATCTGTGGACTGCCGTGAAACCAGAGAGATCCCAGATGTGAAAAACATGCACTTAAGGGAAGGAACTGCACGTTCCACCTTGGAACATTAATAGCCTCATGCACTTACAAAAGGAAAAAACACACAGCTACAGCTTTAAAAAATGTCACAAACATGTTGTAAATAAAACAGATCTCACTGCTCTTAGAAATAATACTGTGTGAGTTCCAACTCTGGCTGAAGCCTGCTGGGCACGGACTGGAAGGTTAAAACGTGTAGCATGCTGCTTCTGAACATGCTCAGAGGCCAAGTTGGAAGAGTCCTCACAAAGGAATGCAGGAAATAAAGGTAAGACATATGGAGACAAACGCAGAAACAGGAACACAGTCTAGGAGACCTAGGCAATTCCAACACTATGCTTGCAATGATGGGCTGCTGCTAGCAGTATGCAAGTCACCTGACAGCAGCTGCAGCGTAGGAATCAGTCGTCGATAGTTGGCAACCAGAAGGCCTACAAAATAGGAAAGAAAAAACATCTTTTACAGAGCAGAACACATCTGTCTCCTACAGCACACTGTGGGAGCTGATCACTACTACCTTCTAAAAGCACACTGCTCAGCTTTCATCTGCGTGTGCAAATGCTGGCTCGCTAGGTGTGCTGCCCCACGTATCTACCTGCCTTCTCAGATTCAGTATTAAAAGGGTCAGCACCTCACTTTCCTTACCATATTGGAACATGCGCTAGCAAAAGTCATGAATTTGGGGTTGAACTGCAGACAGGTTATAGGACCTGTGTGTTTCCCATCCAGCACAGCCACCTTCATCCCACTTTCCCCATTCCAAACATGAATCTTCCCATCCTCTGAACCTGCGAACAAGATACACAACGTACATTGGAGAGGCTGGCAGAGAAAATGAAGAGCATAACTCTTTCTGTCAGAGAACTGTGTGAACAAGCATGCCTCGTCTTCATACCTTAACCTTTAAAATTCTCAAAGTATCACTAAGGCATTTACAAAACATCACATTCTGGCAAAAAGGTTAACAGCTATGGTCATGCAGTAGAAAAGGAGAGTTGACACCATCCAGCTAAGGAGGTAAGACTCTTGCCAACTTGCACTGATGTGTGAGAGGCCAAAAGCTGGGTGTAAGAGTCATTGTTCACACAAGTTCTCAGTTCAGATGCAGAAGGAGACAAATATTTCACTTGGCAGGCACAGAATCAAATCAAAGGCTTTACCATGGAAAGTAACCAAATCCTAGTGCACTATGCCAAATACCAGAAGCTTCACTGGAGATGTCAACTCTCCACATTGCTACAACAGGACGAGTTTTTCACTTTAAAATGGCACTTCGTAAACTGAGGCTGCGCACTTAACATTTTTATAATTCAATACTGCTTTAGTCTTGCTTTAAATAGGATTCCTAATAAAAATGCAAGGAATTTTCTTCTGTTTCAGTATTTACATGTATAGCCTCTCAGGGAGGAAAAATTAAGAAGCACAAGTTACAACTTAATCACACGTAAAAACCAAACAGAAATTAAGTGTTTTGAAACTTCCTGAATTATAGTTTTCATTTGGAAGGGCAGAAAAGAAAGGTAAGTATTTGAAATAAAGTGCTCCTTAGAGCCACACTAAACAAAGAATCCCAGTCCTCTTCTCTGCAATCAGGAAGTTCTCAGCTAGGAGAAAAACAAAACTGTTTTGCTAAGACCATCACTCATCCAGGAAAAATGAGGAACCAGATACCAATTATTACAAAGTTAAACATATTTGATGTACCAGTCATATGAATAAGAATAAAAAGAAAGTGCTAGGAGAGGGGAGCAGCGCATGGACGCATCTTGACTTGCGTCCACAGGTTCTGTCGGGCAGCAGAATGTAGCAGAGTGGATAAGTGCGTACCCTTGGGGTGCCCAACCTGCAGCACCAGGCTTTACAGGAGGCACAACTGCTTTTTGCCACTCATTTTACTTGAGCCCCTCTGCAGGGGGTGAGGAAGGGGGCCTGGGCTAGAGGAATCGTACACTAGGAGCCATGAGGCTGATGGCTGCTGCTTCTGTTGCAGAGCTTGTTCTGCAGACATGGGGTTTATGAGAGCCAGAGGAACAAAAGGCAGCTGCCCCAGCACATCCCTGGCGCAGGAGCATCCCCGAGAGGTGCAAAACACACCAGGCTACGAGACCAATCGCCTGAGCACACACGTCTTGCTCATCAGGCAAGGGAGAGCAGGTCACAACACACAGCCCCCAAATGGTTTGAGACAGGACATGAGCACGTCCCAGTCACATGGTGAGGATCACTGACAGACTGTATCACAGGTCTCCACATATTACAACAGTTTCCTGGTTTCTTATCTTTTCTGGAAGAGCATTAACACATAAAGGAAAAAATAAGTCTCCTTGCAGGCTCATCTACGTTTCAGTCTAGAAAATGACAAGTAAACTAACAAAACAGAAAACTGTCAATGCAAAGAAAGCTTACAGCTGCATTGTATTATCTAAACACATTCTGCTTCCCAACAGACAGCTTTTGTCCCACAGAAAACACACCTAATTTCAGAGCACTAAAATTCTTTCCAAGAAGAATTATCTTACCGATCATGATGAACTGAGAGTCCGGTGTGAATGATGCCTCCAGTGTGACAGCCTTACTGTTGTTGTAACCCTACGGCACAAAACAGAAGAATATGTAGTAGAGAGTGTGTCCACAGGAATCTCTCAACCAAAGGGCACCTGCTCCCAAAACCAACACCAAGTTTCGAGCAGGTAACACAGGCAACATGCTCACCCCAAACGTATGCAGGATAGCTCCTTTAAAGGCATCGATTAGTCGAATGAACCCTCCATTAGTTGATATGAGGATGAGCTTGCCATCGTTACTGAACTTCAGGCCTGTCCACTCACACGTTCGATCATACTGCATCTTAAAGGTAGCAAATGGCCCCTTCAAAGAAAAAAAAAAAAAGCAAATATGATGTAGACTATGTATGCATTGTTGCTAATAAGAGTCTGCTTTTAACCACAGCTCAGGAAAAAGTTCAAGATTTTTCAAAAGAAAACCTTTAGTCCTAAGATACCAAAGGAAAGTGTCATGGCAAAAACATGTTGCTGCATGTCTAAGTTTTAAAGAATTATGAATCCACAGTTTCTGTAGCAAAACAGCCACAGTAATGTGTTTCAATACCCAGCAGTCCCATACTCCACCACATGCAACAGCAGAAATTATTTTAAGGTAGAATGTGGTTTTCAAACAAGACTGCTAACTGGAGTTAGAGAAAGAGCTTGAGTCAGTGAGCTTGAGTCAGTGTTATTGTCATCTGACTTTTTGAAAACCCTGGAACCAACTATGCTCAGTGCTTAGCTAGGGCAGCTGCCCATCCAATTAGTTTCCTTTGAAATTTCCACCCTTTCTGACAATTCTGACTCCATCCTTACCTGTGTTCTTCCAGAACAAGCAGAAAGACAAAAAAAATAACATGAAAACCCACCACCCCAAAGCCCAACAACAAGAAGCCTAACCAGGAGTCTGGCCCAGGTTAAAGAGTGGATGTCGGGATTCGGTGACAGCACATAGCCCTTTCTGTCTGAGATGTGTACTTAGCAAAAACTCTAGGTGCCAAGCAGGCACTCCATATCGTAAGCTGGAGTAAAAAAATCCAGCTTCTGAGCAGTGAGTCTAGATTACTTCTTGCAAGATAAAAAGCATAAGAAATGAAGTTAGGATAGCTCACCTTGTCAAAAGAACGGAGATCATAAAGCTTCACCATTTCAGAATTCACTCCAGCAGCAAAAATCAACCCTTCTGGGTCAAAAGAACATACCGGTTTCCCCTGGAGATGCATTAAACCCTGAAACAATAGGAATAGTCCAAATCGTTCTGTGAAACTGAGACTCACATTTCTACCACCACCCTCTGAATCCACTGTGAGCAGGACAGCAGCCTAGAGGCAGAACAACTGAATTTCAAATGGAAATCTTGAGCTTTTACAAGGCTCCAGAACTCAGCATCTCAAAAGCAACTCTGACTACTTCATATCATCATATGGTGTGCAATGACAAATCAAGATTTCAAGTGAGCTGTCATCCACTCACAAATCACCCAGAAAAGGGAGGAGGATGTAGCTCCATTAATAACCATACCAAACAGAGGCACGAAACACTGCTGCTGGCACTGACAGTAACGCTCTACCAATCATGATTGTCACAGGAAGGAAAAAACGTATTTCAAAAGCACCAAAAGCTACAGTGAACCCTGCCCTGAGCTTTCCATGCCCACCTAACAAAAACTCATGCCTTCTGGAATCCAACAGACATTACATATTAAACCTGACTGATTACAATCACTGCTTATTTTTAATGTTAACCTTTCCCTAACTCACATAGTAGAAAAGCCTTGAGAAAGTTTGGTAAAAGCCAACAAGATACATAAGTTTTCTGCATCCTGACTGGCAGGTCTATGCATATTAGCCAAACGTCTTCATGTAACTGTATGCACATAAATAAGAACACATCTTTGACGAAATCGGCGATACATAAGGTTCTGCATTTTTGAAATATCATTCCTCTCCGGAGAAGTCTAGAGACTTTACTGCTTCCTTCTTCTGTCCAATCTAGGTCAGTTTTCCCGGCGCTCTCTGAAGGCTAGGCAATACTCAGGGCCCTCGCAAGTGGGATATCTCTGGTTTCCCGAGGATACCCCAAGGCACGGCTGCTGCCATCTCATGGGCACATTGAAAATCACAAGTAACACTTCCACAGCCTGTTTGTCAAACTTTGCTGGATGCGGCTTCCACTTACAAGCCCCAGTTTTACCATTCTCACAGATAAAACCGTTTTGGAAGAAATGTAACCTTTTCTTCCTTTTGCATTTACACTTACATCACCTCGAATAAGTAAATAACCCTCTCTCATAAGCAAAATGGTCCCAGTGAGATGGGAAAATATGAAAGGACAACACTAAGTATCCAGGTACAAGTGTACGAAAATAGCTCATCACAATAAAAGGTGGAGATTCTATTCCTAGTCTTTCATTCCTGCCCCTGCTGACAGCTCTGGTACTTTTCTCAGCCCACACAAGCCTACTTCCACTAAAAAAAAAAACCAGTAAAGTATTCCAGCAAAATAAATAAGTGAAAACAAAACACGATTTCACCTTGTTAGAAAGTTAAATCTACTCACAAACAGGTCTGACGAACAACAAAGGTGATGCAAGGAGGAGGTAGACCATATGGCTGCTGTGTTACTCTAGATCATCAGTTTCTTCATCAAATTTAACTGCATCAAGGCATAGATTTTAAATATCCACTATAAACACCCGAGTAAGATGCATTCCCCCAGCAGAGATGCAGCTAAGAGAGAATGCTCTCTGCATGGGGTAGCAGCCTGCACAAGCTGATGACACCCAGACCTCGTTTCACAAGCTGTGGGTGTTGTCTCTTGCTCTTTCCAGCACCTCTCCAGCAGAGACAGAGGTGAAAGTAAGTGGTGTTACACAACGAACACACATATTTCACAGAGACTTGTGATTGAGGCTCCTTCAGGGTTCCAGGAAGGTGTCAACACAGAATCAGCAGCGTATATTTGTGGCAGTATTTTTCGTTTTGTAACAAGCACGCATTAATTTTTCATCCTTCTGACTGAAGATGCAACACAATGTGCATGTGATTTTGACACCCTACCTGGCAATTTGGAGAGCGGAGATCCCATAGTCGAATAGTCTTATCAAGAGATCCAGAAATAAAAGTATCGTCCACTGGAGACATTGAAAGCGCAACCACTCTGCAACACGGAAGACCGCATCCATCAGAGACACACAAAAGAAGCAAACGGAGCAACACCCAACCCAACAGTCGTACACAAGCGGGTAACTACCAGGGATAGTTCTACAAAGTGAAAATCAGAGCGAATCGAGTGTAATTTAACTCAAGCTCATCACAATCATCATTTCAATTCTGCCTGTGCTATCTCCAAGCCACATCCTACCTTTTTGTATGCCCTGGGAAGTAGCGAATGTATTTGTTGTCATGTAGGGAGAGGTATCGGATTGTATCTGAAAACATAAGCAAATCACAGGCTTTAGTATATCACGAACCAAATGTTTTCTGAAAGTGGTCACACAGTAAACTTGCTCCCCATAGCAACAGCAATCCTGCCACAGAGAGCAAGTTCGAGACACTGAGTTGAAGTCAGACTTTGAAATTAACTTGCACAAATCACATGACAGCTTGCCTCTGAGATGTAAGGGGACTTCAGACTATGGGAAGTATCTCTTCCTGGTGTCTGATTTCCAGTTCTGCCTTGGAAACCAAGTTGGTTTACGTCTGTTTCTAACTTGATTCTGTTTCAATATTGCTAAAATTTAAGTAGGTTTTATTCTGTCACTCTCACAAAATTGAGATGATCAAATTTACAAAGCTGATACTGCCGCTTTTGTTTTTTAGCTATACAGCATGAATCTTGCTGTCTTACCTACATACACATTCAGCAAATAACTCTCCACCTACACAGTAAGCACAGAAATGTGTGAAATCTAGCATTTAGCCAAAGAGAAGACTAAAACACAAACTTCAAAAGCCAGGACAAGGCCACTAAAAAGTAGCAACTCTCTCTTTTTTAATCTGACAATCGACAGCTTCACACATTCTCTGCACTTAGAGCACCTAAGCTTTAAGAGGACAGGAGAGTTAGTGCACTTAAAGCAATCTTTAAAATATATTGAATAAATCAGAGCAGCACCACTTTTCTCAAGTGGCAATTTTATTCTGAGTATAGATGGACATACCAAGAGTAGCCCAGAAAATCAAAAGATGCTGTTGAGAACTTCCTACAGAAAAAAACAAGACCCAACAGATCACAATACGCACAGAGCACTGCAACACTCGTAAGGGCTACCATGTTCAGAGTTCTTCGCAAGCCTAATTCAGCAAGTTCTAGTTTCTGTGAAAAATGGTCAAGGTACCATTTTTGCCTGAGGCTTCACATCAAGCTGAGATCAGAGCTCTAACACACCCTCCAGTATCTGTCAAGAAAACTAAAGCTGACTGATCAAGCTGGAAACATGATGCTGGCGAAAAACCATTCTGAAAGGCACAAAGTGACCCAGGGTGACTATCCAAAGCATAAATGCCCCAACACCAGTGTCACATCCCATCATGGCTAGAACTGGCACACTTCAAGCGCGCTGTTAAGACACATCTCTAGTTTTTCCTGCAAGAGCTGTCATTACCTGATTTCCGAAGCATCCAGGCAGAATGTTATCTTCCTTTGCTAAAGAGGAAGCCCCAGGGAACTGTGATCCTTTGAGATCCTTTTTGTCGGCAGCGCTCTGTCCCAGGCAAGGCAGTGGCCTGTACAGTTATCTCCTGTACCGGGTGGTATCATAGACCCTCAAACTGTACAAACTACTACCTCAGCCTGGAATCAGGCAAGAGACACTAGGTTCAAAGATCCTGAGGAAATCTTCAGAAGTAAGTGGACTGGCAGCAACTCCAATACATACAGTTAGGGACTACAGAGTTATCTGTACCCCTACAGAACACATTGCTGGTTTTATTATTATAACATGGTTTGTAACAGCAACAAATACTTTCACATTCTATCTTTCTCTTTTCTTCTAATCAAGTATTTACCATAACGCTACCATGCAGGATAAAGACTCTTAAATTTTGGTTCCACAAACAAAAACTCACAACTTGAAATATCACTGAAAATGCTTCATTAAATTGTTACTTTATTGTAAATAACAGCCAAGTCAGAAATGTGACATAACAAAGTAATAACTTAATAAAAACAAAGTAGGTTGTGAAGCAAACTAAAAAGGCAAGTGCTTCCCATTACACTTTTAATCCTTTTACACCATTAAATCCAATTTTGTTGGAAATTTCCTTGTTCCTCCAGTTTACGGTCCAGCTAGTTTAACACGAGCTCCTAACCCTTAACTTCCATCTGCTCTAAACTCATACTCTTTCAAAAATTCCTTAGGTAACCTAGCACAAGCCACAAGGCATCACTATCTCTATCTCCACAAAACCACTATTCCAGAAATTATGCTAAAATCCATTAATAAGTGCTGTGCTAAAACTTGTTCCCTGAAAAACTCTCAGTCACTGATTACAACAAACAAAATGGAGACATCTGAAATGAAAACGAGCTGTTTTGAACATTAGTGAGAAATAACGTACCTACCTGTGCCAGTTCACAAATTTGAATTTTACATTAAACTCAAAACCAGAAAATAGAGAGCCTGTCACAAAGTTCTAGAAGCCCTTTGATGTCACCAATTTATAGTGCAGCTATTATAGACACTGACTGTAGAGGAACAGCATGAAAATGGGTGTTCTGTCTATTAAATGGAAAAACCAGATTAACAGAAGCAGAGCTAATCTCAGAAGAGCTTTGTGATCTCCTCCAGGCTCGGCCAGTGACTGGCTGAGTTACTTGAACTTTCCCCTTCCCTGTTGCACGTGGAGAACGGAAAAACATTCCCTTCCTTTGCAGCTGCCTTTTTGGGTACCAGACAGAGCTACAGTCTTTAGCTCACCTCCTGGCCATGTGCTCCTTCTACTTCATTTCACACCTAAGGAATTAAGGCACAGAGGTTGACTGGTATCAAATAGCAAAGTGAACAGCAGAATTAAGAACCCAACTTCTATCGCACTAACCATGTGTAATCACTCAGTTATGGCAGCAATGAACAAAACTCATGTCAACGTGCTCGAGGGAGTATCACTGAGTTGAACATTAATTCCTGCCTCTGACAGCTCATTTATCACTGAAAAGTTGCTAAATTTTTTCCCCAGCTCTTTACAGCTACTTATCCAGGCCTGTAGTTTTAAGTGTAAGGAAATTAAATATGCTCAACTCCAGGGATTACTTACCATCTATTTTGTTGGAGCTGTACACCACGGTGTTGGCAGCATGTGTGTACCTGATGAGGTCCACTCCATACTTCTTACTGTACAGTGTTCTCTTTGGTCTGTCAGAAGGAAGCAGAAATAATTACACTCACTGCAACAAGAAGCTCGAACAAAAGACTCATCATATTAACCAGGTCTGTTTTCATCAAGATATTACAAGATTATTTCAAGTAGTTAGGTGTTCTTATACAAAGAAGGAAAAGCTACTGTATTTGATTTTCAAACAAGCACCTTGGTGCTTTCTTTGAGACCATCCCTAGGCTTAAGGAGCTCCCTGTAACACCTGCAAAATGCACTTGTTGCCTGCAAAAATTCTTTTTCCTATGATGTCCACTGTAAAAAGTATATGAAGACCTAGGATAACAGGCTCTTAATGTTAAGCAGCACTAACTCACTGTTCCCTTGCCCACCCAAATCTTTAATTCATCTTCATCTTATTTTATTTTGAGAATAATTTGTCTTTTTGTTCTATGTTACTTCAGAATCTAGAACAGGGTGTCTCATTCCGAATATGGCTTCTCAGTACTAACACAAACACGTGTATATACCAGGAGTCTCTAAAACAATGGTAACACAGGGACTCTCAAACTACTGGAGAATTATACTCATATCTGATCGATCATTAAAGCACAAAACTCAAATGTAACTTTTTGCAACAGAAATAAAGACATTCTAGCAAAAGTGAAGACAACATACAGAACTGGATTTCTAGCGGTCTGGTAAGCAAGCAATGTACTCCAGTTCTAAAAATCTAAACTGCAGAGTAAACTTCAAAGTAGTTGGTTCATAAGCATATCTTGCAGCAGTGCCTGCTGAAGCAGTGCAAGGTCTCCAGCACCCTCCTTTCTCCTTCTTCCTCAGCTGAGGTAGCGTGATGGTTTCAAGGCTGGGCAGTCAACCAGCAGGGGCACCAACACCAGAAATCGTGCCATCTCTTCCTGGAGTTATTTTTAATCCAGAAATTCATAACTCCAGTTCTTACACAGGTCCATAAGAAACAAATAGCAAGAGCGGACCAAAAGAAAAGTTTATCACACTACACCCTCAGTCAAGGTATTTCTAAAATGCTCAACTTTCTCCTTGTTCTCATTAGCCTCAAACTGACACATCCAAACAACAGCATAAGTTGGACACTTCTCGTATCAAAACAGCCATCAATTCCTAAAAGATTAATTCTCAAACAACAGAAGTCATAGGGGTTTGACTTCAAACTAACCTGCTGGGCACAAGCTTCCACTTAACTGAAACCCAACACCACAAGTGGAATTAAAAGCCACAGACCACCTGTATCACTTAGACCAAATCTCAACAGATTCATCCTCAGTTCCTCCCATAGATTTTAAAATCAATTTTCAGAAGCAAACATGCTACAAACTGAAAACAACACAACAAACATAAAATTTATACATTACACAATTCTGTAAGATTATGCCTGCTGTGCTTTCCCATACTGCGCTCTGTAGTTACCTCGGCTATGCTGTTGACCAAATTGGAAAAAAAAAAATTAAAATAAAAAAAGAAACAACATCCAACAAGCAAACTTTACCAACCTCAAAACACATTAAGACTCTCATGCCTAGTCTGAGTCTTCATTATCTATGAAAAGTTTAAAGCTTAAAGGCTTTATTCAGAATAAATGAATATACACCAAAGAATATACACAGAGACAATAAAGATCAACAGATGGACAAAAGCTCATTTACCAAAAAGGAGGAAAGTAAGTAATTCTGTGGTTTAAGATAGGTCATTCCCAATCAATTACTTAAAAACACGAACAAGAAAACAAACTTTTACATATATTTTAAACGTATCACAGTCACTAAACATACTTTCAAGTTTAAGGTTAATCTATCCAGCTCGCCTACATATCAAGCAATATCACCAAAGGGTAACGCTTCACAAGATCACACTCAAATCTGATGTAAAGATGAAACAACACATAGATGCAGTTTGTAACAGTATCTGTGCCGTGGTTTGAATCGCTAGCACTGCAGGAGAAACCATCACCCAAAACCAGGCTCTAAGCAGGAGTCCAGATCTATCACCTCCTTATTTGTGTAAGTAATACACAATTGATATTACTAAAATACAAGCTAAACCTTTGCTAGATGACCATTACATCATACTCTCTTAAAAATTCGCAGGCATGAGCTTCCCGCTCCTGGCCTCAAGGACATCCCAGCCACAAGTCCCTTCTCTGGTCTGTCACCAGACACAAGTCTGCTCCCAAAGAGCTCATTCTTAAGTCCCATCAGACCCAGGTATGCCTCTTGGTTCCCCTTTCGAGCTTTGTGGGGGTATTTGCTGATGCAGAATGGATTAAAAAAAAAATAAAAACCATTCAGTTCTTTGCTTATTTTGAAATAAAAGTGGAATCTCAGGTCCAAAATTCTTGGAACTCACAAAGGAGGAGGACACATTTTTCAAGCTTGTTGTCAAGAATATACACAACAAGGGAATCTGTGTTTCAAGGAGATAATCTTGTCCTGTCAACCCTCGGCTACACGTCACTGTTTAAATTGTCCTGACACTTTCAGAAACTGCAGTTCACCGAGATGGAGCTTAGTCATACTGCTAACAACTCTCATAGCTGGACAGATCATTGTGGGTGGGCAAAACGAAGCAAACTAGGTAACGGCATACCCAAAGTGTAACTGAACACAACTGCATCTTAATTCTACCATCAGAACCGCCCATTAATCGAGGGGACACACAACCACCACCACTAAAAAAAACCACAAAAACCCCAAACCAAACTATAGGCCTGAAACTGACAAATTCCATCATGTCTCAACAACAATCATTCTCAGATTGATTTTTCATCTCCACGTAAATATCTAGTGAAGAAGTAATTCACAGCTAAAATTTTTCAGCTTAGAGAAGCAGCCTGTCCTGCATCCCCAGGTACCTCTAAAAATCACAGTTGCGCTTTTAAGTCAATTGACAGTACATGAGAAACTTTCAAATTAATTTTATAACTACTATAGAAATTAATCCTGAAACAGGGGTTACCTTAATGAAACCACTCTGGCTGCCCTGTAGCACTGCAGCAGGCACCCATCGATCTTCTACGTTTAACTTAATTACAGCAAACCCTCTGACTGTAAGGCACACATCAGGACTAGATGGAGTTAGGGATGAAAGGACCAAATGCCTCCCAACCCATCAAACGACTCTTTATAAGTTTGAAAGGGGAAGAGTGATCAATACCATCTGCATTAGCATCACTCAGCCCTTCTGCTACTGTATATAATTAGTGTCTAGAATACAATCCATGGCTGACACCCTACATATAAAATTACCTATCCTTACACAAACAAAAACTGAGTAATTTCAAGGAACAGCTCATTTTATCAGATGGGCAACATCAACAACTTAATATGCAAAGCAAGCAAACTAAACAGAGGTATAAAATAACATATAATAAGTGGTCTACAAATTTAAGAGAATATCATAGGATCATAGACTGGCCTAGGCTGGAAGGGACCTTACAGATCATCTAGTCCAACCTCCCTGTCATGGGCAGGGTATGGATATATGCAGGATAATATGGATAATATGCAGGATGCAATCTTTCAAACTGAGCACGTATGATGCCTCTGTCTCCTTGAAAAAGCAGGAGGATTAGAAATACCTTTACTAGAAAATACATGCAATGCTGACACATCCATCTCTTGGTACTCCCATGCTATTTTTTTCTCATACCTGCATTACCCTGTCCTTTTTATTCTCTCTCTTACAACACACACACTCATTTTTCTTCCACTTTCTGTATGTACGCAATGCACTCTAGTCTTGACTTTTTTTTTTTCAAAAAAAAAAAACCCCACCAACCCACAGAATTAAATCTCTACATGAAAAAGCACAAGAAAATTCAAACTTAGAATTCAAAAGAATTTAAAGCAGCCAAATACATACTTGTACCCACTGAGAAAGATTTTTACAGAATAATTACATCATTTGGTTCAATTTGTTCCAACTCTCATAGAATACAAATGCCTTTTGTGTATGTTCCAAGGTATCAGCTGCAAGTGTTACTGGAGGTCTTACTTGCACATTTTTCTGAACAAGAGCACCACATCTCAAAAACTGTGCAAATTTCTGGGGGTTTATCCATAAACAAGACAAACATGATCAATGAAAGAAGAAAGATAAACCAGCTAACTCTGCTCAGTGAGATACACACACACCTTAATTCATTACCCTTAAGTAACAGAAATCAATGAACACCTTGAATAGAAACCACGACAACGTTTGAAGACACAGGTGAATCACATGTGGATTTTAACTGTGCTTTACAGATAAAAACGCAACTAGGAAGAAACGATTTAAAGCGCAGAGGACCACCTTTACTGGCAATATTCCCAAATATCACTTAAAAACTACTTGTTAAGTGGAACACCATCAAGTTTTTAGAAGTTATAGCAAAGGTGCACCACATCACCTCCACTCTTCCGCTTAACGCATTTACCCAATAAGTCACACTCAAATTAGTTGTTTAAAACGACATATCTATACAGCATTCTCAGCAACTGCTTCTGTTTCAGTTAGCGAGACATAAGCCCAGAGAAGCCCAAGGAAGCAGTTTCCACATCCGTACTGATCCCAAGGCCTGGAAACGCGACCAGACTCAACCCCTTAAGCTCAACACTTGGTTCTCGCTGCAGCGAGCTCCTCACGCGGGG